TTGATTACTGTCCTATGTGTTGGGAATGGTCGAGCGCTCTAGCCTCATCCTTTATGTGTTATACAACACGGGTGTTCTTATGTTGTGTTGATTACTGTCTCATGTGTTGGGAATGGTCGAGCGCTCTAGCCTCATCTACTATGTGTTATACAAAACCGGTGTTCTTATGCTGTGTTGATTACTGTCTCAGTGAATAGTCGAGCGCTCTAGCCTCATCTTCTATGTGTTATACAACACCGGTGTTCTTATGTTGTGTTGATTACTGTCCCATGTGTTGGGAATGGTCGAGCGCTCTAGCCTCATCTACTATGTGTTATACAACACCGGTGTTGTTATGCTGTGTTGATTACTGTCCCATGTGTTGGGAATGGTCGAGCGCTCTAGCCTCATCTACTATGTGTTATTCAACACCGGTGTTCTCATGTTGTGTTGATTACTGTCACATGTGTTGGGAATGGTCGAGCGCTCTAGCCTCATCTACTATGTGTTATACAACACCGGTGTTGTTATGCTGTGTTGATTACTGTCCCATGTGTTGGGAATGGTCGAGAGCTCTAGCTTCATCTACTATGTGTTATTCAACACCGGTGTTCTCATGTTGTGTTGATTACTGTCCCATGTGTTGGGAATGGTCGAGTGCTCTAGCCTCATCCTTAATGTATTATACAACACGGGTGTTCTTATTTGTGTTGATAACTGTCTCATGTGTTGGGAATGGTCGAGCGCTCTAGCCTCATCTACTATGTGTTATACAACACTGGTGATCTTATGTTGTGTTGATTACTGTCACAGGGAATGGTCGAGCGCTCTAGCCTCTTCTACTATGTGTTATACAACACCGGTGTTCTTATGTTGTGTTGATTACTGTCCAAGGGAATGGTCGAGCGCTCTAGCCTCATCTACTATGTGTTATACAACACCGGTGTTCTTATGCTGTGTTGATTACTGTCCCAGGGAATAGTCGAGCGCTCAAGCCTCATCTACTATGTGTTATACAACACCGGCGTTCTTATGCTGTGTTGATTACTATCCCAGGGAATAGTCGAGCGCTCTAGCCTCATCAACTATGTGTTATACAACACCGGTGTTCTTATGTTGCGTTGATTACTGTCCCATGTGTTGGGAATGGTCGAGCGCTCTAGCCTCATCAACTATGTGTTATACAACACCGGTGTTCTTATGTTGTGTTGATTACTGTCCCATGTGTTGGGAATGGTCGAGCGCTCTAGCTTCATCTACTATGTGTTATTCAACACCGGTGTTCTCATGTTGTGTTGATTACTGTCCCATGTGTTGGGAATGGTCGAGCGCTCTAGCCTCATCTACTATGTGTTATACAACACCGGTGATCTTATGTTGTGTTGATTACTGTCCCATGTGTTGGGAATGGTCGAGCGCTCTAGTCTCATCATTTATGTGTTATACAACACGGGTGTTCTTATGTTGTGTTGATTACTGTCTCATGTGTTGGGAATGGTCGAGCGCTCTAGCCTCATCTACTATGTGTTGTACAAAACCGGTGTTCTTATGCTGTGTTGATTACTGTCTCAGTGAATAGTCGAGCGCTCTAGCCTCATCTACTATGTGTTATACAACACCGGTGTTCTTATGTTGTGTTGATACTGTCCCATGTGTTGGGAATGGTCGAGCGCTCTAGCCTCATCTAGTATGTGTTATACAACACCGGTGTTGTTATGCTGTGTTGATTACTGTCCCATGTGTTGGGAATGGTCGAGCGCTCTAGCTTCATCTACTATGTGTTATTCAACACCAGTGTTCTCATGTTGTGTTGATTACTGTCACATGTGTTGGGAATGGTCGAGCGCTCTAGCCTCATCTACTATGTGTTATACAACACCGGTGATCTTATGCTGTGTTGATTACTGTCCCATGTGTTGGGAATGGTCGAGTGCTCTAGCCTCATCTACTATGTGTTATACAACACGGGTGTTCTTATGCTGTGTTGATTGCTGTCACATGTGTTGGGAATGGTCGAGCGCTCTAGCCTCATCCTTTATGTGTTATACAACACGGGTGTTCTTATTTGTGTTGATTACTGTCTCATGTGTTGGGAATGGTCGAGCACTCTAGCCTCATCTACTATGTGTTATACAACACCGTAGTTCTTATGCTGTGTTGATTACTGTCACATGTGTTGGGAATGGTCGAGCGCTCTAGCCTCATCTACTATGTGTTATACAACACCGGTGTTCTAATGTTGTGTTCATTACTGTCCCAGGGAATGGTCGAGCGCTCTAGCCTCATCTACTATTTGTTATACCACACCGGTGTTCTTATGCTGTGTTGATTACTGTCTCAGTGAATAGTCGAGCGCTCTAGCCTCATCTACTATGTGTTATACAACACCGGTGTTCTTATGTTGTGTTGATTACTGTCCCATGTGTTGGGAATGGTCGAGCGCTCTAGTTTCATCTACTATGTGTTATACAACACCGGTGTTCTTATGTTGTGTTTATTACTGTCTCATGTGTTGGGAATTGTCGAGCGCTCTAGCCTCATCTACTTTGTGTTATACAACACCAGTGTTCTTATGCTGTGTTGATTACTGTCCTAGGGAATGGTCGAGCGCTCTAGCCTCATCTACTATTGTGTTATACAAAACCGGTGTTCTTATGCTGTGTTGATTACTGTCCCAGGGAATGGTCGAGCGCTCTAGCCTCATCTACTATGTGTTATACAACACCAGTGTTCTTATGCTGTGTTGATTACTGTCCTAGGGAATGGTCGAGCGCTCTAGCCTCATCTACTATTGTGTTATACAACACCGGTGTTCTTATGCTGTGTTGATTACTGTCCCAGGGAATAGTCAAGCGTTCTAGCCTCATCTACTATGTGTTATACAACACCGGTGTTCTTATGCTGTGTTGATTACTGTCCCAGGGAAAAGTCGAGGGCTCTAGCCTCATCAACTATGTGTTATACATCACCGGTGTTCTTATGCTGTGTTGATTACTGTCCCATGTGTTGGGAATGGTAGAGCGCTCTAGTCTCATCTACTATGTGTTATACTACACCGGTGTTCTTATGCTGTGTTGATTACTGTCCCATGTGTTGGGAATGGTCGAGCGCTCTAGCCTCATCTACTATGTGTTATACAACACCGGTGATCTTATGCTGTGTTGATTACTGTTCCATGTGTTGGGAATGGTCGAGCGCTCTAGCCTCATCTACTATGTGTAGATAACACCGGTGTTCTTAAGTTGTGTTGATTACTGTCCCATGTGTTGGGAATGGTCGAGCGCTCTAGCCTCATCTACTATGTGTAGATAACACCGGTGTTCTTATGTTGTGTTGATTACTGTCCCATGTGTTGGGAATGGTCGAGCGCTCTAGCCTCATCTACTATGTGTTATACAACACCGGTGTTCTTATGTTGTGTTGATAACTGTCCCATGTGTTGGGAATGGTCGAGCGCTCTAGCCTCATCTACTATGTGTTATACAAGACCGGTGTTCTTATGCTGTGTTGATTACTGTCCCAGGGAATAGTCGAGCGCTCTAGCCTCATCAACTATGTGTTATACAACACCGGTGTTTTATGTTGTGTTGATTACTGTCCCATGTGTTGGGAATGGTCGAGCGCTCTAGCCTCATCTACTATGTGTTATACAACACCGGTGTTCTTATGTTGTGTTGATAACTGTCCCATGTGTTGGGAATGGTCGAGCGCTTTAGCCTCATCTACTATGTGTTATACAACACCGGTGTTCTTATGTTGTGTTGATTACTGTCCCATGTGTCTGGAATGGTCGAGCGCTCTAGCCTCATCTACTATGTGTTATACAACAACTGTGTTCTTACAGCGTCAATATAGTCCAAGAATACACTAGAGTCAAGACACACTGTCCTAGCGTTTTTGGTTATTTGTTTATTTTAGATAAATTTAAGTTTAGATAAATTTTATTTGAGTCGGTATTTGTAGAAAACAACGAAAACATATATATGTATCAACATTTAATTCTTTTGATTTTGATTGCTCAAATCTCTTCAATTGCAAACCCAAAAACAATATTAGTGAATAACATTTTATCGACTTCATATTAACAAAAGGATACCATTTTATTTTCTTAATTTGACAAACAACGTCTATCCCAAGATTTATGGCTGCCCGTTCAGACCTCCAAAAAATATAATTTTATCACGGAATAAGATAATAATAAAAAAGAGTTACTTCGACAAAGTTTTCTTATTTGATCAAGGATTAAATTTAGTATCACATATTTACTAATTCATGATCACGAATATATGAGAATACGTCATCCCACATATTTTAATTATTTACCACGGATTTAATCGATGATTTTTGATATTACAGATTCTTTACCACGAATTTAATCCATGATAACAATTTTGTAATTCGGTGTAACAAATTATACAATTCGTGAAAATAATTTCAGTCCATGATCAAGATATTTTTAATTCGTGATTATTTGTTCTCCAGATTTGCTATCAGAAATTCAAACTATATTTATTGGAGGCCCTAAATTGGCTTCCAGAAATCCCTTCGACATCAATATGAAGCGCTGGATAACATATCAATTTTATAAAAATATGTACTATTGTTGAAAATGTTAAAATTATATGATAAACTTCCTTGTGAGCAGCATTCTTTTATCAAGGAAATCATGATAGGAAACACAAGCCCGGGAATATCGTATCAATTGGGAGATATAAACTCCGTATGCAGGCGCTGCTGGAATGTTGCTACATAGAAATGGAAAGTTCACAATTGGGAAGCTGAAATCATCTCTTTTGTCGTAAAGTTTTGTTTTCAACCGACCCTCATTGTCAATTTCTAGATGTAAGTCAAGATATGAGGCAGACTTAACTGTATCTGTAGTATCCTTTATCTCTAGTTCGATGGGATATATTCGTTCAACATAGTCACCAAATTTTGTATTATTTAGTGAGAGAACATCATCTATATAGCGGAACGTAGAGTTAAAGGATATTGCTAACTTCTTATAAATTGTTAATTTGCTATGTACAATATTGCATCTCATTATGCCCTGAAACGGATAGTCAACGTTTTATTATATTTACACAAACTCAAGATGTAAATGCTTTATCCTGTTGTCTGGTCTGGTTTTGACGTCTACATTTAACCAGTAATACGATAAACTGGACGATATTCAGGACGAAAAGAACAGAAAACATACCACCAAACAGCAACTTTGTATTTTCATCTAGAAACAGAAAGAACAATTATTTCCAAAAATTAAATTGCAACGTTAGTCTTTAACAAGTCTACATGCTCGTAGCATGAAAAAAATCGCTCTCACTCGGGCTCTCAAAAACACCATGAGAAGTAATAAAACTATTGAATCAAGTTATTTGTCATCATCACAGGACTCAATTCACACATAGTTATAAGTGAAAGTAAGCCAACAATTTGTATATAATGTACATGAATTCATTCTTTAGGGTTTGTCTTCGTCTGATTTGTCATGGACGAGTTGAACACTTTGTGCAGTTTGTTGTAATGTCCAGTATTTTTTTGTAGTGTTTGCCTATATTTGTGTATATGTCAGATATAAAGAAACTGTTTTATGCACTACTGGGTTTAACTTGCAACGTCCATATCAGTAGGAACGTCGTATTATCGGTATATAAAACGTCACTGGTGGGTCCAGAGGGAATCCGGGGTTAAAACATTTCTCTTTATTTGTTTTTTTTTTTAATTACACAATACTCGACAAATTGTGCAGGAATCCTCATTTCTGGTTCAAGCTGCTACTAATATATATATTTTTTAAATAAAATGCAGGCAAGAATATCTGAAACCCTTCCCTCCTCGACCCGCCTATTAAATCTGCTACGTTATATCTGTTCATATACAATATATAGGATTTGATGAAATAATGAAAAAAAAAGGAACAAATTTGTTTTGCACTTATCAACTTGTAAACAAACAAAATGTCGGATATCTCAATAAACCAAATCAAACCCAGGCCGTAGCGCTTCATCTGTTCGAGGTAGAGGCAACATTTAATGCATCTGACAAAGAGAAGAAATCCAAGACAATGCTCACAACAAGAAAACAAGAAAAAAAACGGTTGATATTTACCAAGTTATTTTTAAAGCAATAAAGATAGCCTTTAATAATGATACAGTTTATTAACCGTAATATAGATATATTGTACCAGTAACCATAATAAAAGCAATTTCTATGTAAATTTAGAATGCTCAAAAAAGCCCATCGCCATGTAGCGTCGATTAAAAAAATTTGTGAACGGTTTTGTAGTGTGAATTCATTTGCATCGCTTGCATATCCTATCATGATTTCCATTGCAGAGGGCTGCTACTCACAAGGAAGCTATTTAACCATGAGTTCCAAGTGGTGAAGTTGAAATCATCCCTTCGTTAATTTTACGAACGCCATTACGAGTTAGTTGACAGTTATGGAATATCTGTTTCACAGATGACGACAGATATGTTTCAATTGTTGTAACCACAATCCCGTCCTCTTTTCCTCGAATAAGACCTACCAACTTAGACTTATCACCGGGTTTGCACTTAAATGAGCAACACGACGGGTGCCACATGTGGAGCATGATCTGTTTACCCTTCCGGAGGACCTGAGATCACCACCGGTTTTTGGTGGGGCTAGTGTTGCTTAGTCGTTAGTTTTTCTATGTTGTGGTTTGTGTACAGTTGTTTGTCTTTCGGTCTTCTGCTATTTTTGCCATGGTGTTGTCAGTTTATTTTCGACATGAGTTTTAATGTCCCTTTGGTATCTTTCGCCTCTCTTTCAGAAAGTAATGATATGTGTAAATTCAGCCCGGGTTAATATTCAAAGTCGTATAAAATAATTTAAATTTAAAAAATGTTATACTTTGTAAATATTCATATTTACCTTTATCTGATTCACTTTGTTCATCTTTTAGAACATGATCATTGATGTTTTCCACAGGGTCATTTGTATCACTCACGTCCGATACATCGTCGTTACCGAGGTAACTTCCACATTTTGATAAACCAGGTGGTGGTTTAGGGATACTAGCGAAGGACTCGTTCAAGACCAGCGCCATTCCATCGTTAGAATGCATATCAATGTGGCAATGTAGAAACCAGATTCCAGGAATTGTAGCTGGAAACCTTACAACAACGTATCCTCCACTGGGTACAATTACAGTGTCTTTTAGTACCGCTCCTTGTTGTACAATACCTGGGACATTTCCATTCAACCATGATGAATTGCTCCAAGTGGCACTGTTACACATACTAATTCCTGGTTTGGTATTTCCCCTACAGTCGACATCATAATTATCCTGAATTAATGCACCTGTTCTTTGATTAAATACGCCATATTCAACCTTCACTACCATAAAGGCATGTCCGTGCATGTGTACCGGATGGTCATCAACTCGTCCTTGACCCATATTAAGGAATGTCATCTGAATTGTGTCGCCCGAATTAATTGTCAAAGAGTTCATACATTCGCATAGTTTTTCCTCCCCACATTCCTGATCTGAACATTGATGTGCTAATTCGTCGGGTTGTGTAAGTGCGGAAACAACTGGTAACTTGAACTGTCGTCCATTTATGGAAGAAGGTCCGAGTTCTCCATTATAGCCAGGATTAGCAAAATTGAGAAAATACTCTTTAAATTTTCCTTTAACCGGAAGGGGAGTTGGAATATTAAGCACAGCACGGAGCTCGGTCAGTCGAGTACAGTTTACATTTTTATTTTCAGGGTAAAAGGGAAACGGGCAATTTACAACTATGCATTTGTTTGCAGACGTACAGTTGGACTTTGAGGATGTAGGTTCTGATAACATGGCTCCTTGATACTGCAATATAGCCTCAGCCTTGGTCGTAAATCTCCTATCTAAAGTTTCTGCACGTACCATATAGGTTCCTATTGGCTGGTCAGCTTCCAGAATAAAATTGAATCGTTCACCCGGAGCTATGATAAATGACTGTGCTACGACTGGTACAGTTTCAAAACCATCAGCCCCAACAATTGTTAAGTTATGTTGATCAACTGATACTCTCCATTGATAGAAAGCACCAGGTCCAATAACCCTAAATAAGTATTGTTTACCTTTTGTAACTTTGAATGTTTCAAGCGGCGAACCGTTATGAGATGTATTTCTCCAGAATCGTCCACGTCCATTTATAAGCCCTGCATGAGTTCTATATGGCGTGAATATAGTCATGTCAAGTTGTATTGAAGGAAGTAGTTTCTTTCTATTTTTGTACACGCTTCCTTCCACTTCGAACAAATCATCAGTATCTGAACCATATTCATGGTTCCATTCAAAAACTTGCATTATATGTTCTTCAAGCTGATTTTTATTAGATATTTTTGGCCTTATTATAAATGCACCAAATAAACCATTCAATCTTTGGCTTCCCATGTGTGAATGGTACCAAAATGTTCCTGGTGCATTAGCTGTGAATTTGTATTTAAAGGTTTGTCCCGGTGTTATTGGGCATTGTGTAATATAAGGTGGACCATCCATCCATGGAGTGTCTTTCATGTCTACGCCGTGCCAATGAATCGACACCGCTTCAGACAACTGCTTGTTATGTACATTGACAATGACTGTTTGTCCCTCATATACTATTATTGGTGGGCCAGGGAGGCTTCCATTTGCGGCAACTACCAGTCTACCAAACGAGCCATCCCATCCATCTGCTGTAATTATGTCATCCATGTTGACCGGGGAGGCGTTTGATGTGTCGGTGACATTATAAAGGAACAGATTGCCGTTGTACGGATAGACAGGACCATCTTCTGACATCATTGCTAGTTTATAATGTATGTTGAGGGATGTTTCACAGATCTTTGCATGAGGATCACATTCAAATGCAGTACTTAATGTAGCAAAGAGAAGACATAGCAGTAGCTTCATGATGTCGATTCTGAAAAATGCAAATTTAGAAAAAAAAATGAATGGGAAATCAAAGATAGAGGATCATTAAGTGCCAGTCATTGTAAGAATCAGGCAATTTAGAAGAATATCAAAACATGGCCGAAAAAAAACCCGCCGACCTTACTATCCTATTTTAAAGTTACTCACATCTCGAACGGTTACAGATGCAAATTACGGAGCTAGTTCCCCTTAATTGTGAATTTCTAATGCATTTCAACCAAATTATATTTTGATTTATCAGATCAGGTAAAGGAAACGAATGTTATATTGATGCACAATTGAACATTTTGAACTTGAATTAATGCAAAACTTGAGCGGGTTTTTGTTTGTCATTGTTTCACCACTGCCTGAATCTTAGGCAGATTGGCAATTAAAATATCATGTACTCCCTTAAATATGTGATGGTCTGTAAAATGTGCCCTCTGCTTTCCTTTTGATAATCTTAATAATATGAATTTATTCTTGAATTGATTTTACTATGTTACCTATAGATTGAGAGTATAAAACGTTGAAATTTGAAATGTAGATAATTCAAGTTTTTATGGCAAGCTTAAGCCGTTGTGGAATTTATTCCCTATTTATTGAATTTAAAAACTGATTTTTTAGTATTAAAAAATGTTATATTTTTTTTTATATTAAAAATTCGATTTATTAATATTAAAAAAATGATATTGTAATATTAAATATTCAGTTGGATTTATTGATATTAATAAATGAATTTTTATTATTAAAAAATATGCTGATATATATTAATAATAAAAAATCAACATCAATATTACCTTAACGTTTAATATCAGGCAAAATAATCATGATCTGCCAAACGCTCTAACGATGAATATGGGACAAGTCGGTCAGGAGAAATTTGGACCGATCATGTTAAGTCAACTCGGACCATCTTATGTCAACCCAGACAACTATTTAAAGAAATTTTTGACTATTTAGTGATTATAAACTATTAAATGTTAAATTTTACATAAAAGTATCATTTTAATGTTGCTGAATTTGCAAAAAAAATATCAAAATAATTTAATCAATGTGAATCCAAATTTCTACTGATCTTTTTTTTTAAATGAAACTTAATTTATTCCCCAAAAACTAGTGAAGTGGATGCTGAATATGGTTTGTGATACACACCGTTATCATCATGATAACGCACAATTATACAAATAAAATTGATTAAAAAAGAGTTTTTTTAGTTTGTTCTTATGTTGTGCTGTAATTCCACTGTCCATGGTTAGGGGGTTGAGCGCTCGCATACATGTTTAATGTTTAACCCCGCTACATTCTCGATGTGCCTGTCCAAGTCAGGTGCATGTAGTTAAGTGGTTGTCGTTGATTCATGTCTGTCATTTTTTTTTTCGTGAATTGTGTTGTTATTAATTATGCCATTAGTTTTCTCAGTTACATTGTTTCATATTTTTTTTTAAGTTGGGGCCTTTTATAGCAGACTATACGGTATGGATTTCTCTCATTGTTGATGGCCGTATGGTTGCCTATAATTGCTTACATCCACTTTATTTAAACTTTGGTGAATAGTTGTCTCACATCTCCATATATTTTATATTGCTATGAAAAAATAAGATATGGACGTTATTTTTTTTATAAGAGAAACAAGGTTACTTTAGGCATGGGACTAATAGTTTCTTTCCTTTATGGTAATATAGCTCTTCAACTGTTTTAGTTCTTATACAGCCTTGGCTTTCAAATATTCTGCTTTGAGCGTTCGGACGCATGACATTTATAACGTGTTGTTTTCATCTTTTACAGCACTGGGTCGATACCTCTGCTGGCGGACTATCAGTCCCCAAGGGTATCATCAGCTCAGTATTCAGTACTTCGGTACTGACATAATTTATAACAAACCTTTCTAAAAATTGTCCGTTGATAAATTTTGAAATTATTAGAAAGTAAGGTTTCAACTCCCTCAGGCAAAGTTGACTTAAGATGGATTTGGCTATTTTTTTTATGTCATTTTTGGTAATATAGCTCTTCAACTGTTTCTGTTCTTATACAGCCTTGAGTTTCAAATATTCGGCTTTGAGCGTTCCTGATGAAGGTAAATCCAGAAAATGCGCTTCGGACGCATGAAATTTATAACCTGTTGTTTTCATTTTTTTTTTGCATAGTCCTGACTCCACGTAAAGGAAATCGTATTAAAATACTTTAAGCTGGCTAGGCCCTTTAACAGTGAGCAGTTTTGACGTATGTTTCTAACGACGAGCGCGTGCTCTTCATCTTGGAAACGATGGCTTTGAAAGGTTTTTCTCAAAAATAATGTTGAACGACATCGTTTATTCCGAATAAAATTGAGAATGGAAATGGGGAATATGTCAAAGAGACAACAACCCGACCGAAGAGCAGACAACAGCCGAAGGCCACCAATGGGTCTTCAACGCAGCGAGAATATCCGCTGGCCCCTAAATAAAATGGTGTACTAGTTCAGTGAAAATGAACGTCAAATTAAACTCCAAAACAAATAAATGAACTAAAATTAAAAAAACATACAAGACTAACAAAGGCCAGAGGCTCCTGACTTGGGACAGGCGCAAAAATGCGGCCGGGTTAAACATGTTTTGTGAGATCTCAACCCTCCCCTTTACCTCTAGCTAATGCAGAATTAAGAAACACATAGCAATACGCACAGTAAAACTCAGTTCAAAAGAAGTCCGAGTCCAATGTCAGAATAGGTAACAAAAGAAACTAAGCAAAATGACAATGATACATAAATGAACAAAGGACAACTAGCAGTTACTGACATACCAGTTCCAGACCTCAGTTAAACTGATTGAAAGATTATGTCTTCATCATATGAAATATGAAATTCAAGTACAATCCCTCCCGTAAGGGGTTTAGTATCATACCATCATAAAATATATGAGAAGAACATAACCCGTATCATGCCAATAACTGGTTTTAGAATAAATGTGTTTATTTCCGATGCAAAGACCCTATGAGTGAATCAATATTAATACCAAAATTTGCAATCCTTAATGACTTGACAAAAGTATCGTAACTATATCCTTTCCGAATAAGTGTGTTTAAAGGTTTGGATAGCTTTTGAGGTGAATGCCGACATTTTTGTGCTTTGAAAAGAATATTACCATAAAATATTGGATGTGAAATACCCGAACGTATAAGATGTCTGCATGTAGATTTATATTTACGAATGATGTCCTTGTACCGATGATAAAATTTAGTAAATGTTTTGACTAGTTTGTGATATCGAAAACCCTTGTGTAATAATTTTTCAGTAAAACAGAGATTTCTTTCGTTGAAATCAAATACGAAGTATATAAAATATTTTCCCACTACAAAATTTTGGTAATAATTAAAAATATTTTTCATTAAACAAAAATTGTTTTCAATTTAATAATTTTCAAGTAAAATATTTCATACCTTACAGTCACGTCCAACATTTTAATTTTACACATTTACATTCTTTATCATATCATGGGCACGAATAAACACTTTAAAAACGGGGTCAAAATTCTTAATTCCTAAATTGTCAATTTATAACTTGTAACTGTGTTTTTAAAAATTATTAATTGATAAATTGTCAATTTGCCACTTGTAACTTTGTAACTTAAAAATTCGTATATTGAAAATCTTGAAAATCTGTATTTGCAACTTTGAAATTCAACATTTGTAACTTTGAGGTTCTTTATTTGCGACTTTGTAGTTCATTAAATCTAACATTCGTATACTATTTCTTTTTTGCCATTCTTCATTTCAACCACGTCACTTAAATATTCGCCATAGACACGCTGAAATTCGTATATTGATGTTTTGTAACTTGAAACATGTCGATTCGTTAAATGTCATCGTTGTATTATTTTAACGATCATTATGACGACAGATGGCGCTCAGTTTTCTTCTTCTGTGTATAAGCATCTTGTAAGTAGGAGCACCTCCATATGGAGTATATACCCTTAGTATTTTAAATCAATTATGTACAGCACATACATATAAAAGAAAACAAATAGATAAATAACATTTTTGTTTTTATATGGCATATATACAGGAACTCGGTTTTATTTTGTTTTCTGAAGACGACATGTAGCGCTGCGTTCGAGAACAGAAACTACATCATTACTGGAAAACCCAGGTAACAAACGGTTTCTATTAATCCTAAAATGCGATTATTGGACCATTTGATTCTGACTGAGTGGGAAGGCCTGACAGATATTTGTTAATATACATGCCTACTAAACTTTACTGGCCAAGAAGTAATGGTCGCCACCCGGTTTTTCGTCCTATAAAAATTTACAAAATGTGTTGCAGACAAAACTTCCCACAGGGTGTTCACCAAATATTCCCGATTCCCGATTCCCTCCCCTCAACTCCGGCTTCACTCCCCCTACTCCCGGGATCCCGCCCCCTTGCCACCTCTCCTCACAGTTTGCCACCGTTTTACAAATGTTGAATTTCAAAGTTGCAAATACAGATTTTCAATATACGAATTTTGAAATTACACAGTTACAAGTAGAAAATTGACAATTTACGAATTAAGAATTTTGAAATTACACAGTTACAAGTTACAAATTGACAATTTACGAATTAAGAATGTTGAAATTACACGGTTACAAGCTACAAATTGACAATTTACGAATTAAGAATTTTGACCCCGTTGGCTTTCCATATAAAACAACCACTATCTTCTAACCTGAAAGTTTTTTTTGCATTTGTTAGCGTAAAGAGGATATCTATCAACCTCTTTCATAACATAATTCGATGATTTCCGGAACTCTTGTCCTATAACATATTACCATATTACCTCGGGGGCAATGTTTTCTATTCTGATATTTTCTTTTTTTACTAATTTTGTTATTTTCTATTTTAACTATCAATGTGCCAACCGAGTTCCCATGTAAAAAAGAAAATATCAGCGTAAACACGTTAAAAATTGAATAAGAATGTGTTATATACTACCGGAACTCAAGCAACATATTTTACTAAATTAATTATTTGCTTTTACACAC